CATCACCAGCATCATCATCATCACCATCATCAGCATCAGCATCATCATGATCAGCATCATTGTAATCGTAGTATTCCTCCTACTCCGCCTCCTTCTCATCCTCATCATCATAATCATCATGTTCCTGGCCAGCCCCAGGAGGAGGAGTCCATGTAGGGGGAGGATGGGTTCATGCATATCATAATGTGGTGTTCCAGTCTGGTGTGCAAGTGCGGTTATGTCGTGACTGTGGTCGCGTTGCGCAGAATCAGCTGAGGGAGCTGGCTTCCCAGGGTCTCCCCGCCCAGCTCACCAAGAAGCTACGAGAATATGTGGATATGTTGACAACGGGCTTGAGACCCAAGGACAGTTAAAGCCAGTATGTTGAAGTTTGGCTTTCGCTCCTCCTCACCCTCCTCCTCCTCCTCCTCCTTCTCTTCCTCGTGGCCCTCCTCCTCCTCCTCCTCCCTCCTCCGCCTCCTCCTCCTTCTCCTCCTCCTCATCCGCCTCCTCCCGATAGGCCGCGCCATTCCCGTCCTCATCCTCCTCCTCCTCCGTAGAAACTTCGGCTCGAGGTCAGCAGGAGGCGCGCCTTGCCTACTCGGCGTCACACGAACACACACACACACACACACACACACACACACACGGTGGCACGTATTCGTTCAGCATAGCGGCGTCTGGCCAGCAACGCGTTTCGACAGCTACCTTCGCGCCTGGTGCCATGCGCAGCTTCGGGCGCGCACGGAGCCTCACAGCCAAGACATCATGTAGTTTATCGCGTGTTGATGGCACCCTTCACTCGTTGCAACTCGAGCTTTCCCTGAATGCTACTGTTCCTCCGGAGAACGCCGACTTGGCGTTCAGGGACCAGCAGCTGGCGTTTCCGACGAGACTGTCACGTTGCTTGGAGGCGGATCTCGGGCTTCCCCACCACCGACACGTTGACGACGCTCTTACTGCATCAGTGGCGACGGGCGACCGCGATCCCGCACCTACCAAAAAAGGGACCGCACCCGGCTCACTGGGACGGCCGCGCGTCATCGCCAGTGGCACCGCCCTGCACGAGGGTACCGCAGAAAGTCTCAGCTTCAGAGGCCAGCGTGTGCCCAGCCCTGCACAGAAAACGCAGAGACCCTGAGATTTGGGGCTGACCCTGCGGTGGCGCTGCTCGACGCGCTCCCGGGCGTCCAGCCCGCTATCCCAGCTGGCACCAGCTTCGACCTGGACGTGCTCCCCTCGTTCGACGGCGCCCCACCAGCCAGTGGGCCCTGCGCTCCCGGGGAACTCCCAGCGCGCTCTCGGCGCGGCCCGGCTGCGCCTTCCCTGCGAGACGAGCGGCCCCGAGCCAGACCACGAGCACGACGACGAGGGCCAACGCGTGCACGATTGCGCCGCTGGAGCTCCTGATGGCCCAGGGTGTTCCCCAGATGATGGTCAGCGCCGCCTGCCTGAGCGAATATCCTCGGTGGCCCCCGCCAAGCAGGATACGAACCGGGACGCCTGGTGGCTGCCTCGGAGATCAGCGCATTAGTCGTCGCGCTCCAGAGGACGACCGACGCAGCGAGGCGTGCGAAGGACCCTTGGTCAGCCACGTTGCCACCCAGACGGAAGTGATTGGGATACGGTCAGGAACTTTGGACAGCGTGTCGCCACGGGGGCCCTGGCCACACGCCATGCCTTGCGAGTGGACGGTGCATCGCTCCGCTTTGCGGGGCGGGAGGCTCGGAAGAGCTCGAGACTTCGACGCCTGGGGACCGCGAAGTGGATAGCGTGTCGCACCGTAGCGTGGTGGGCCAGAACTGGCAGAGCGACGCTGCCCAGAAGTTCCTGACCGTAGCCCCTCCGAACCAAGCTCGGCAAGCCCCGGATGTCACCCGCCAGTCCGGGGCCACGATCGACTCCCAGCACGCCGAGCTCGAGCGGTGGAAAGAGCAACACGGCAGGCAAAAGACGACGCAAAAGGTGTACGAGGAGATCGCCCAGGATGAAGAGGAGCACATGGTGGCACATCTTGCCAGTCAGGAGGCCTTCGACACCCCCGAAACTGCGGTTCGCACACAGTGTTACATTCACGCTTTCGGGCTTGCGTTGGCGAGTGCCGACCTCATCACTGACGTTGGTATCAAGTATGCCATGCCGAATCACCGGGGGGAAAACAAAGAAGAACAGCTAAGACAGATAGGACGAGAGGGACAAGAAGACCACCTCCAGCTACTCCCGAGCCTGGAGTACGTGGAGGACCCCACCTACGATGCCCACCCACACCGAGGACCCCAGTTTGGTCGACTGGCTGCATGTTGCTGTCGCTGCCCCGCAGTCATCTAGGATTGTTTAGCCTTTCTGTGTTCTGTACCCTCCTCCCGTAGCCTCTTCCTTCCTCCGCCGTCTTCTCACTCTCCCTCGAAGGCCCAGAGGTGCCACAAGCGCCCAAGCACTGTCACTCTTGGTGCTGGATATTCGCCCGCGATGAGTCCTCGATCCTCCTCTTTCTCCTCCTCCTCTTCCTCATCTTCCTCCTCCTCCCACTGCTCCTCCTTCTCCTCCCTCTCCTACTACTCCGTCCTTCCCCCCCCCTTCATCCTTCCTCCTCGTCACCATCGCCCTCCATCCTTCCTCCTCGTCATCATCTTCCTCCTCCTCCTCCTCCTCCTCCTCCTCCTCCTCCTCCTCCTCCTCCTCCTCCTCATCATCATCATCATCATCATGTTCCTCCTCCTCGTCCCCATCCTCCTGCCTCCTCCCTCCTCCTCCCCCTCATACTAGCTCCGTCCTTTACCCCCCTCCCAGGGAGGGAGGGAGGCAGGGAGGGAGGGAATGAGGGAGGGCCTCCCAACCTCCCTCCCTCCTCCTCCGCTCCCTTTTCTGAATAGCTCCTCTCCTCCGCCTCCTCCTCCTCCTCCTCCCTCTTCTTCTCCTCCTCATCATCCTCAGCATCATCATCAGCAGCATCGGCATCATCATCATCAGTTTCCTCGTTTTTGTTGCTGTTGACGCTGCGCGGACTCAGGGCCGATGCCTGAAGCGTTAGTGAAGGTGGCGCAAACAATACAATCGCCGACTTAGGCGAAGCAGCAAGCAACTTAGGCCGCGGACGGGTGCAGAGGCAGCAGTGCTAAGAGACTTGGCAAAGAATAGTAGCCCGTAAGGGCGGGAGTAACCCAGTCCGCGGCGACAGCTGAGGGGAGGTACCAGATGACCTGAGCAACGTGATAACCACACTGTAAGGAGGATGCTAACGAGTGGAGGTCGAAATACGCGCGCATTGCAATCCCCTCAAGGCCGAACCCCCCCATCCCATTATCAGCTTGGGTTTGAATGATGGCATGGCTGAACGAGATGCTACATGGCTAAACCGTGAAGGAGTGGATGGTAGAATGTACAAAGATGGCGGTGGCTGGATGCCTAAAGGTGTGCGTGCAAAGGTTTGTACCGTATATGTTGGCTGGCCTGTAGGTAAGGCCGTAAAGAGGAAAAATAGCAATTCTGGGGCTGCTACCCGTATTTGTTTCGAGCAGGTCGCGTCATCCCCCATACCTCATACCTCGAAGGCCCATCCTCCCCAATGTCAGAACGGCCAAAGAGACAGGTAGTCAAATGGCCGTGTAATGCACGCAATTCTGCCTTTGGAGTTGGCTCAGTTGGTACTGGCTGGCCTGAGCCAAAGCAAATAATGCTCCTCCGTCTCCTCCACCTCCTGCTCCTCTCGCAATCCAGATCCCTTCAGGTATGGCAAGCTGAGAGCAGAGACAAGCGCGCGAAAGGGACGCTAAATGGTGTCATATTGTTAAGAAGTGACTGTAGCTAGGCAGAAGGGAGGGGACTGTGCGTAAAGAGGGAGAGTAGATATGTTGAGCCTAAGTGTGTGATAGGGCTGGCGCGGTCTGTGCTGGCTTGCCCTGTAACGGAGTACAAAGTCCTCATATTCCTCCTCCTCATCCTCCTCCTCTTCCTCCTCTCCCTCCTCCTCCTCCTCCTCTTCCTCCTCCCCCCTCATCCTCCGTTCCTTTTCCTCATGAAGAACTCCTCCCCGTCGCACCCCGAGGCTAGTCGGAAGAGCGGGCCGGGCACTTCGCTCGAGACTGCTCTGCCATGTATGATCCTGAAGTTTCAGAAATGACAACAGCTTCACACATAGAGGCGGGCCGCTTCCAAAATGTGGCTCTCGCTCTAGCGCCGCGCGCACTAGCGCCGCGTACACTCGTCTTAAAACCCTGCAATTGCTTCACGGGTCGGGGGCGGATCGTTTTCAAATGTGGTTATCGTTTTAGCGCCGCGCACATTCGTCTTAAAATGATGCAAGAGCTTCACGGATTGAGGGCGGCTCTTTTTCGAAATGTGGTCTTCGCGTTAGCGCCGCGCACATTCGTCTAAAAAAGCTGCAAAAAACTTCACAGCTTGAGGGCGGTTCCTTTTCAAAAGGTGGTTCTCGCGTTAGCGCCGCGCACTCTCGTCTTAAATATATGCAAGGGGTTCACGGATTTCCCATGGTCAACGTACCAGAAATGGTGTTTTAGAACGAGTCAGGACTGTCAGGGCGCAACAGTTACGTTGATTCGCGGTGTTGAAATCCAGAGAATGGTGTTCTGACGCGATTCAGGCCCGTCAAGACGCAATAGTCAGGTTGATTCGTGGCGTTGGGGTCCCGAGAATGGTGTTCTGGTACGCTTCAGGATCTTCAAACGGTTGCTGCCAAATGGGACTTTGTCCTCAGGGGAAATGAACCCTCATAGAGGCCTATGAAGAGGTTGCTGAGAGGGAGGTTGTAAACGAACATTGTTGGCGGATCTTGGATTTTAGCACTGGTTTTCCTGCTCCTCCTCCTCCTCCTCCATCCTTCCTCCCTCCCTCCCTCCATGTCTCCCTTCCTTCCTTCCATCCTTCCTCCTCCTCCTGCTCCTCCTCCTCATCATCTTCTTTCTCGTTCCTCCTCCCCCCTTCGCCTTCCTCCTTCTCCGTCCCTACCTCCCTCCTACCTCAATCTCTCCTCCCTCCCCCCCTGGCGCGTGCCCGCGCTCAAGGAGCTGGGCTGCGCGGCCAGCTGGAGGGGCTCGCTTCAGCCCAGCCGCTCGACTCCGCCGGCGAGGACGAGCGCGGCGTCGTCGGCCCGCCGCTGCCGTCGTCGAACGATAGCCAAAAACGGCAAAGCACAACGACGGCAACGACGACGACGATGGCGACCACCACAACAACGACCACGACCACAAGCACGACCATGACCACGACAACGACGATGAAGACGACGACGACGACGACGACGACGGCGACGACGGCGACGGCGACGGCGACGGCGACGACGACGACGACGACGACGACGACGACGGCGACGACGACGACGACGACGGCGGCGACTTGTGTCCCAAGACGCGGTCAAATCAACGACGGGGCGCATCCGTGCGATTTGGGCACGAGGGAAGAGAGAAAGGGAGAAAGGGCACGGGTGGGGAGGAAGCCGTGGGCGGCGGAGCACGCTCAGACCGTGAAGATATTGCGCGTGTGTGCTGGAGCACACAGGCTCTCACGGGTAGTGAGCCAGGGAGGAACATGGCAGGATGCCCAGGGGCGATACTCCGAGGCGGCCAGCCAAACAAAAACAAGCAGCACAAACATAACAAACAGTTGTCACAAGCTACAAAAGCATCGATCCTCATATGTCGCCGCGCCGCTTGATCCGACGCGCGGCCTTGCGTCTTGGAGAGGGCGCCGCGGCCACCAGGGCAAACGCCGCCTCGGGCGCGATGGGCTTGCCCTGGGGTTTGCCGCGGTGCCGGCGTCGTCTACCTGGGCGCGTGGCGCAGCGCTTGCCGTGGGTTTGCCGTGGTGTGGGCGTCGTCCATTTGGGCGCGTTCAGAACAAAGGGCGCGGCGACAGATCGGCATTGCGCAACACCACAAAAATGCACAAGAGTCAATGGTCGGAGGTCCGCGCACATATTTCTTGGTTCTGCGGTAGGCCTTCCTGGCGGCGCCCCCGTTGCAGCCCCCTGGCGCGCTCCGCGCGCCATAGGGTGCTCTTGTCCAGCGCCGCTCCGAGAAATCCGCGCGGACCTTCGAAAGTTCACGTTCCTGTGGCCTGTGTTGGTTCCCAGCCATCCTGTAGTGCTGAAGAGACAGCGCCCCGCGTCTCCTCTCCTGCTCCCTCCGCATCCCCCCTCCCCCTCTCTCATCCTTGCCTCTGCCATTCGTCCGCACATCCATGTCGGCACACCCTTCATACGCCTCGTGGCCCCATGGGGAGCTCCACCGAAGGCCCCGTCGGCAAAGTCCACATGAGGTTCCCTGCCCATGTCGAGACACCCCTCACACGTTTTGTGGTCCGATAGGGAGCTCAATCGAAGGCCCCAGTGGCAAAGTCCACATGCGGTTCCCCGCCCATGTCGGCACACCCTCACACGCTTCGTGGCCCCATGGGGAGCTCCACCGAAGGCCTCAGTGGCAAAGTCCACATGCGGTTCCCCGCTCATTTCGGTACACCCCTCGCACACTTCGTGGCCCCATAGGGAGCTCCGCCGAAGGCCCCAGCGGCAGCAAAGTCCACATGCGGTTCCCCGCCCATACCGGCACACCCCTCACACGTTTCGCGGCCCCGTAGGGAGCTCCACCGAAGACCCCAGTGGCAGGGTCCACATGAGGTCCCTTGCCCATTTCGGCCCACCCTTCGCACGCTTCGCGGCCACATAGGGAGTTCCACCGAAGGCCCCAATTTCAAAGTTCGCATGCGGTTCCCCGCCCATCTCGGCACACCTCTTACACGCTTCGTGGCCCCATGGGGAGCTCCACCGAAGGTGGAGGTGGCAGGGTTCACAAGTTATGCTCCGACAATTTCGGCACACCACTCGCACGCTTCGTGGCCCCATGGGGAGCTCCACCGAAGACCTACGGTCCACATGCGGTTCCCCGCCCATTTCGGCACCTTTCACACGTTTAGTGGCCCCATAGGGAGTTCCACCGAAAATGATGCCCACAAGGCGGCATTTAACACTGCATATGGTTGGGTCCTTCGCCAGGATACGTATTTGTTCTAGAAGAGGTGTTTGCTATGCGCGGCCTCTAGGAGTCCGTTTCGGGCCTTGGCGACCGTCAAGGATCGGCCTTGGTTCTGGGACCGATTTTACACGGATTTCGGCCATTGGTGTCGTCTTCGACGTCATCGTCGTCGACGCTGTCGACGTCGTCGCCCACCGCCCTCTTCTCCTTCGCTTCCTCCTCCTCCTCCTCCTCCTCCTCCTCCTCCTCCTCCTCCTCCTCCTCCTCCTCCTCCTCCTCTTGTTCCTCCTCCTCCTCCTCTTCGGGAGACGAATCTGGAGCCAGACGCTGTCAGCTACAAGGCCAGTGAGCGTGGGTGCGCAGCGCATGCCAGAAGGCGGAGTTCTGGGGGCAAACACAGGAGCTAGACATCATCAGCTACGCTGCGAAGAACAGCGCGTGTGAGAAGGAGGAGCTTTGAGGCGAAACGCTGGAGTCCGACACTATAGCCAAAAGCGCGCGGAAAGGAGCAAGGCGAGCAGTGGTGCACAGCAAACAGCTTCTTGCGAGAAGTGGGAGGCGACGTTGGAGCCTAATGTCGTCCTCGCTACACGCTCCATGCCAGCACGTGCGAGAATGGGAGCTCTGGGAGGCGAGACTGGAGCCATACGCCATCAGCTACCACGTTGGGCCATGGGGGTGCCAGGAGAGCGGACTGGGTGCGTGCATGGCGAGCTTTGCAGGTGACTGGGTTTCAACGTCATCAGCTACATGCAGCGGCCAACGCAACGCGCGCGAGAACCGCGCGCGCTGGGAGGCACGAAGGCGCCAGAAGCCATCAACCAAGCAGTGGCGCAGCGAAGGGCCTCTTGCGGGAAGTGTGAGGCAAAGCTGGAGGCCAATGTTGTCACGTCGTTTTAGCCCTACTCTACAGCGTGTATGGGGAAGCGGGAACCCGATACCATCAGCGACACTGCCACAGCCAGTGCAAGCAAAAGGCAGCAGGGCGCAGAGGAAGGCTTCGTGCTTGCAGCACGGGGCAAAGCCGGAGCCCAAGATCGTAGTATATTCCGCCGTACAAAACGTGTGCGATAAGGGCGGGCAGTGGCACAAGATTTTGAAGGCGAAGCAAAAGCCTGCCGCCATCAACTCAGTGTTCAGCTGGAGCCCGAAAGAGATGGCGACAACGCTGGACACAGCGCGTGCGAGACAGGCGAGCAGTGGAAGCAGGCGCTGTCGCTGCTCAACAAGAGGAGGAAGGCGAACATGGATCCCGATATCATCAGCTATCCGCCGATACACTGCGAGAAGTGGGAGGCGAAGCTGGGGCCCGAGCTGGTCAGTAACAACGCTCGGAACAGCGTGTGCGACACGGACGAGCTTGGGCAGCAGACTCAGCGTGAAAAGGCACAGGGGCAGGCGGCTCGGACGCCATCCTGCGAGAAGTGGGAGGTGAAGTTAGAGCCCGATGTCATCAACAGCTACACTGTGCCGCAGTGGGTCGGACGAGTTATCCGCCACGGGCCACGGGGCAGAGATCAGCTCGTGCGAGAACATTTCGGTGATGGTGGGGCCAGAAAGATTCTCTGCTGCAGTGTAGCGCAGAGATCAGCACGTGCTCCTCGTCCTCCTCCTCCTCCTCCTCCTCCTCCTCCTCCTCCTCCTCAGCAGCAGCAGCATCATCCTCGTCCTCATCCTCCTCCTCCTCCTCCTCCTCCTCCTCAGCAGCAGCAGCATCATCCTCGTCCTCATCCTCCTCCTCCTCCTCCTCCTCCTCCTCCTCCTCCTCCTCCTCCTCCTCCTCCTCCTCCTCCTCCTCCTCCTCCTCCTCCTCCTCCTCCTCCCTTGAGGCATCCAGAAGACAGCCGCCGTCTTTGCCGTTGTCGTCATCAGCATCGTCCTCGCCGGGATGAGCAGGAGGAGGGGGAGGGGGAGGCGGAGGAGGCGGAGGAGGACGAGGAGGACGAGGAGGACGAGGAGGAGGAGGAGGAGGAGGAGGAGGAGGAGGAGGAGGAGGAGGAGGAGGAGAGGAGGAGGAGGGAGAGGAGGAGGAGGAGGAGGAGGAGGAGGAGGAGGAGGAGGAGGAGGAGGAGGAGGGAGGGCCGCATCCGCTCGGGGAACCACAGCTCCGCAGCTCGAAGCTCAAAGGTGGAGGAGGTGTTTTTTCCCCAGCCAGCCTGTGGTGTTGGGTCCTCGTGTTGCAGAGAATACGCCCCGCGTCTCCCTCCCACCTGCTGCCCCCGTTCTCCCTCCCCTCATCCCTGCCTCTGCCTTCCGCATGTCGACCACTTCGGCACACCCCTCTCACGTTTCGTTGGCCCATGGGGAGCGCCACCGAAGGCCCCAGTGGCAGGGTCCACGTGCATCCCCCCAACCCAGTAAAGCGTTTCGTGGCCCAAAGGGAGCTCCACCGATGGCAGGGTCCGCATGCGTCTCCCCCCCCACCCAGAACAACGCTTCGTGGCCCATAGGGAGCTCCACCGACGGCCCCAGTGGCAGGGTTCACATGCGCCTCCCCCACCCTTTCCTGCGCACCGTGGCCACAGGGAGAGCTCCTCCGACGGCCCCAGTGGCAGAGTCCACATGCGATTCCTCCACCCGTACAACGCTTCGTGGCACCATAGGGAGCTCCACCGAAGGCCCAAGTAGCAGGGTCCACAAAGTGTTCCCCCACCCAGTACAACGTTTCGTGGCCCACAGGGAACTCCACCGAAGGCCCCAGTGACAGGGTCCACATGTGCTTCCCCAACCCAGTACAACGTTTCGTGGCCCATAAGGGGTTGCACCGAAGGCCCCAGTGGCAGGGCTTCCCCTCCCAGTACAGCGCTTCGAGGCCCTAGAACTCCTCCAAACGCCCCAGTGGCAGGGTCTACATGCTTCTTCCCCCAATGGATATGCGTCTCCCCCACCCTTTACAGCGTTTCGTGGCCCATCGGGAGCTCCACCGAAGGCCCAAGTGGCAAGGTCCTCATGCGACTCCCCCACCCTGTATTGCGTTTCGTGGTACATAGGGAGCTCCACCGAAGGGCCCAGTGGCAGGGTCCACGTGCGTCTCCCCCCTCCCAGTACAGCGCTTCGTGCCCACAGGGAGCTCCACCGAAGCCCCCAGTGGCAGTCTCTCCCATCCAGTACAGCGTTTCGAGGTCGAGCGGGAGCTCCACCGAAGGCCCAAGCGGCAGGGTCCACATGCGCCTCCCCCTCCCAGTACAGCGTTTCGTGGCCCATGGGGAGCTCCACCGAAGGCCCGAGGGCCGCGGCCGCATGCGTTCGCGCCACCCAGTACAGCGCTCCGTGGCCCCGAAGGGAGCTCCACCGAAGGCCGCATTGGCCGCATTCGAATGCGTACGTGCCGCCCAGGTTAGCGATTCGTGGGCCCATGGGGAGCTTCCGGGAGCAGAGGACGAGGAGGCGGACGAGCACGACGACGAGGCGGTGAAGGAGGAGAAGGACAAGGAGGAGGAGGACAACCACGACGAAGGCGAGGAAGATGCGGTGGAGGAGGTGGACAAGGACGTTCACGAAGACGAGGAGGATGGTCTAGAGGGTCTGGAGGAGGGTCTTGCGGTTTTCTTGGTTTGCTAAGGAGATATTGTGGGTTCTACGGGGTTCTAGGGTGCCCTGTGAGATTCCAGGAGGGTTTTTCCCCAACCAGCTTGTGGTGTTGGGTTTTCGTTTTGGAGAGACAGCGCCCCACGTCTACTCTCCTCCCCCCCCTTCTCCCTCTCCCCATCCCCGCCTCTGCTCTCCGCATGTCAACCATTTTGGCACACACACACACACGCACCTCTCACGCGCCTCGTGACCTCATAGGGAGCTCCACCGAAGGCCCTGGCGGTGCGGCCGCATGCGGCCACGCCGCCCAGAACAACGCTTTGCTTTGTGGCCCCATAGAGAGCTCCACCGAACGCTCCAGTGGCCGCGGCCGCATGCATCCACGCCACCCAGTACAGCGTTTCGCGGCCCCATAGGAAGCTCCACCGAACGCTCCAATTGCCACGGCCGCATGCTTGCGCCACCGAGTACAGCGTTTCGTGGCCCCATAAGGAGCTCCACCGAAGGCCCCAGTGGCCGCGGCCGCATGGGCCCGCGCCACCCAGTGCAACGCTTCGTGGCTCCAGAAGGAGCTCCACCGAAGGCCCAAGTGGCCGCGGCCGCATGCGTCCGCGCCACCCAGTACAGCGCTTCGTGGCCCCATACGGAGCCCACCGAAGGCGTCAGTGACCGCGGCCGCATGCGTTCCCCCACCCAGTACAGCGCTTCGTGGCCCCAGATGGGGGGCCCCACCGAAGGCCCCAAAGGTCGCGGCCGCATACGTGAGCGCCACCCTGTACAGCGCTTCGTGGCCCCAAAGGAAGCTCCACCGAAGACCCCAGAGGCCGCGGCCGCATGCGTCCGCGCCACCCATTACATCGCTCCGTGGCCCCATAGGGAGCCTCACCGAAGGCCCCAGTGGTCGCGGCCGCATGCCCCCCCGCCGCCAAGTACAGGGCTTCGTGGCCCCATAGCTCCACCGAAGATTCAGTGGCAGCGGCCGCATGCGTCTCCCCCACCCATTTCAGGACACCCCATCACGCGCTTCGTGGCCCCATAGGGGGCTCCACCGAAAGCGGTACCCACAACGCGGTTCTCACAATTGCACCTGATAATTCGACGACGAGTGATTTTGGTTGTCCGAGTTTTATTTTCTCTGCCAAGGGGCAGGTTGACTCGATACTTGGACGAACGAGCGACCGCCTGCCTATCGTCATCCGTCTCTCGCCCTTGCCCTCCCACCTCTTCCCTCCCTCCCTTCCTTCCCTCGTCGACGACGGCGACCACGACTACGACGACCAGGACCACGGCCACGACGACGACCACGGCGGCCACGACGACCACTACGAAGACCTGGGCGACCACAGCGACGACGACCACCACGGCGACCACGAGGCCGACAGCGGCGAGCACGACGACCACGGCGACCACGGCGATGACGGCGGCGACCTCCGCGGGAGAACAGCGCCCTGGTGTCGGAGTTGGCTGGCCCCGTCGGGGCGGCGGGCGCCGGGACGCCCCCGCGCGGCGCGCCCGGCCAGCCGTCGTCAGGTTGTCGTCGTCGTCGTCGTCGTCGTCGTCGTCGTCGTCGTCGCCGTCGTCGTCGTCGTCGTCGTCGTTCCCGTCGTCGTCGTCGGCGTCGGCGGCGGCGGCGGCAGCGGCAGCGGCAGCGGCAGCGGCGGCGGCGTCGTCGTCGCCGTCGTCCTTGTCGGCGGCGGCAGCATCGGTGTCGGCGTCGGCGTCGTCGTCGGCGTCGCTGTCTTCGTCGTCGTTTTTGCATGGCTGTCGTCAGCGTCGTCCGTCATCGTCGTCCTCGTGTGGCCGTCGTCCTTGTCGTCGTCGTCGTCGTCGTCGTTCGTCGTTGTCGTGGTCGTCGTTTGGCCGTAGGTCGTCGCCGTCGTCGTCGTCGGTCGTCGTCGTGGTCGTCGCCGCCGCTGTCGTCCGTTGTCTGGCCGCCGTCGTCGTTTGGCCGTCGTCGTTGTCTTCGTCGTCTGTCGTCGCCGTTCGTCGTTTCCGCAGCGGGTCGCCGTTGTCGTCGTCTTCGCCGTCGTCGTTATCTGTGGGCGTCCTCGTCTTCGTTACGATGAAGAGCCTCCTCATCCTCTTCCCCCTGCCCCGCTGTTCGGAATCGCGTACGTATCAAAACCTGCTGAGACAGATCAAAGCATCGAGACTCTTTCTCCCTCGGTTTGTCCTCCTCTTTTCCCTCCGCATCCTCATCCTCCTCCTTATCATGACAAGAGACGGAAGGGTCAGGAGGAGGAGGAAAGTGAAGAAAGGAGGAATGAGGAGGCGGGAATATGTAATGATTATTGAGCGCAGTCTGCAAGCTATGCGAATTCAAGTTTGTCCCAACCATCCTGTGGTGTTGGGTCCTCGTTTCAAGGAGGCAGCGCCCCGCGTCACTCACTCCTTCCTCCCTCCTCCCTTCTCCTCCCTCCTCGCATCCCTGCCCGTGCCCTCCGCATGTCAGCCATGTCGGCACACCCCTCAAGTGTTCCGTGACCCCACAGGGAGCTCCACCGAAGGCCCTCCTGGCCGTGGCCGCATGCGTCCGCGCCTCCAGGGACAGCGCTTCGTTGCGCCGTAGGACAAGTTCCACCGAATGCTCCCGTGGCCGCGGCCGCATGCGTCCGCGCCCAGTACAGCGCTTCGTGTCCCCATAGGGAGCTCCACCGACGACCCCAGCGGCCGCGGCCGCATGCGTCTGCGCCACCAGTACAGCGTGGCGTGGCCCCATACGGAGCCCACCGAAAGCGTCCGTGGCGGCGGCCGCATGCGTTCCCCCCACCCAGTACAGCGCTTCGTGGCCCCAAAGGGAGCTCCACCGAAGGCTCCCGTGGCCGCGACCGCATGCGTCCACGCCACCCATTACATCGCTCCGCGGCCCCATAGTGCAGCTCCACCGAAGAACCCAGTGGCCGCGGCCGCCTTGTCCGCGTCACCCAGTACAGCTCTTCGTGACGGCATAGCGGGCTCCACCGAAGGCCCCAGTGGCCTCGGCCGCATGCGCCCGCGCCACCCAGTGCAGCGTTTCGTGGCCCCCCAGGGGGCTCCACCGAAGACCCCAGTGGCCGCGGCCGCATGCGTCCGCGCCACCCACAGCAGCGCTCCGAGGCCCCATAAGGGGGCTTCACCGAATACCCCAATGTCCGCGGCCGCACGCGTCCGCGCCACCCAGTGCAGCGCTTCGTGACGCCATAAGGGGGCTCCAACGAAGGCCCCTGTGGCCGCGGCCGCATGCGTCCGCGCCACCCAGTACAGCGCTTCGTGACGCCATATGGGGGCTCCACCGAAGAACCCAGTGGCCGCGGCCGTATGCGTCCTTGCCAAAAAAAACAGCACCTCGTGGCCCCGTAGGGGGCTTCACCGAAGACCCCAGTGGCCGCGGCCGCACGCGTCCGCGCCACCCAGTACAGCGCTTCGTGACACCAGAGGGGGGCCCACCGAAGACCCCAGTGGCTGCGGCCGCACGCGTCCGCGCCACCAAGGACACCGCTTCCCGCGTCTGCATGCGCCCGCCCCGCCCAGTACAGTGCGCCGAGGCCCTATGTGGGGGCTCCTCCACCGAAGACCCCAGTTGCCGCTGTCGCAGGCGTCCGCGCCGCCCAGTACAACGATTCGTGGCTCATAGTGAGATCCACTGAAGACACCAGTGGCCGCGGCCGCGTGCGCCCACACAACCCTTTATGTGTACACATACATATATGCATACTACATACAGACAGACATGCATGCATACATACCTATAACCATACATATATTTACAAATACATATACATATACATATACGTATACACATACATATACATGTACATACTCATAGTCATATTCATATTTATATTCATAATTATATGAATAGCCATATACATAGACATAGACATAGACAACGACACATACATACACATGTTTACGTATATACATATATGCATACATTCATGCGCGCATGCATCGACACATACACACACATATATATATATATACATATATGCATACATACATACCTACCTACATACATACATACATACATACATACATACATACGTACGTACGTACGTACGTACGTACATACATACATACATACATACATACATACATACACATAACAGCGGCAGTGGTTGCGGCCGCACGCGTCCGCGCCACCCAGTACAGCGCTTCGTGACACCATAGGGGGCTCCACCGAAGACCCCAATGGCCGCGGCCGCACGCGTCCGCGCCACCCAGTGCAGCGCTTCCCGCGCCCGCATGCGTCCGCCCCACCCAGTGCAGCGTTGCGCGGCCCGATGTGGGGGCTCCACCGAAGACCCCAGTGGCCGCTGTCGCAGGTGTCCGCGCCGCCCAGTACAACGATTCGTGGCCCCATAGAGAGCTCCACTGAAGACACCAGTGGCCGCAGCCGCATGCGTCCACACGAAACGTATGTGAATATGTATATATAGGTACACACACCCACATGTACACTTATATAGATATATATATATATACATATATATATATATGGAAAAATCTCCGCGGCCTCATGGGGAGGTTCACCGAAGACCCCAGAGGCTGCGGCCGCACGCGTCCGCACCACCAAGGACAGCGCCCCGTGGCCCTATGTGGGACATCCACCGAAGACCCCAGTGGCTGCGGTGGCTGCGGCCGTATGCGTCCGCGCCACTCAGTGCAGCGCCTCGCGGCCCCATCGGGAGCTCCACCCAAAAACCCGGCGGCCACGGCCGCATGCGTCCGCGCCATCCAGCACAGCGCTTCGCGGCCCCAGAGGGCAGCTCCACTGAAGGCCCCAGTGGCCGCGGCCGCGGCCCACCCAGTACAGTACAGCACGTTCCTCACACGCGTCGTGGCCCCATAGGGAGCTCCACCGAAATAGAGAGCCGCATTTTGAAAAGGAGCCAGTTTCCATCCGTACAAATTGTTGGAACGAATGTGCGCGGCGCTAAGGCGAGATTCACATTTGGAAAACGTCCCGCCTTCGACCCGTGAAACTCTTGAACGCATCTGAGACGAATTCGCGCGGCGGTAATGCGAGAGCCACATTTTGAAAATGGCCCGCCGTCAACCCGTAAAATCCTTGCAAATGTTAAAAGAGAATGTGCGCGGCGCGAAGGCGAGAGTCACAGTTTGAAAACCGCAATCCGTGAAATTGTTGCCAATGTTTAAGCTTCAGGTCATAAGTAGTGAGGGCGTCTCAGGCGAAACGCCTGGCCCGCCTTTTCGACCAGCCTCGGGGGGCGACAGGGAGGAGTTACCACAAGGAAAAGAAATTGAGGAGAAGGATGACGACAACGACGACGATGACGCCGACCAGGCGCGAGGTTGTTTGGGCTCGGAGGTTTAATCTGGATGGAGCGAAGAGGCGGGAGGGGGATACGAAGTAGGAGCAGCAACATCAGCTGCAGATGGGCCAGATGCGGGAGGCGCAAGCTTTGGAGCGGCAGTCGGAGCGGAAGGAGGAGCTGGAGGAAGCTCCCCTTCTTCCGTCCCAAACTCCCTTCTCCATCATCCCCCACTCCCCTCCCCTCCCCCTGTCCTGTACAACTCCTCCAGCGGAGCACTGCTCTCCTTTTCTCCCCTGACTCTGTCTAGACGGTCCCGCCCTCTCCGCGCAGCGTGTTTTCTTCAGCACGTATGATGTCATTAGTGTGTATATTTCTTATGGTTTTCCCCATCAGAACGTTTTTGGTGTTGCAAAATGGTGGACCCGCTGCAGCGTAGGCCTCATGTTAACATCGGCGCTTTGCTCCTGTCGTTCAGGACGGCGCTCTCTCCCCAGCGCAGGCCACGTTTCTGGATCCGAGTCCGTCCTCATCGTTGTCGCCCTCTCCTTTCCCTGGCTTCCCCTCAGTAGTTCTCCGGTGTTCCTGATCCTTCCATTCTTTCCACTTCAATTTTTGTTGCTGATCGTCCTCGCCATATTCCTTCTTCATCCTCTTGTTCCTCCTGCTCGTCCGCCTCCTCCAATGTACGCAGCTTCCGTTGTCCGATTGCGAAACATCATGGGGTCCTTTCTGGCGTTGGGGGTCCGCTATGACACACGTCGGCGATTTGATGAAACATCAGCGCGGGCAGCCCACCCCGACGACGGGCTGTTTGAAGAGGTGCTAGCGGCCCTGGGGTCACATTTTGACGCCGTGTTCGACGCTAGCAGTGAGTCGGCCACGGAAGTGCACTACTCGGGCGAAGAGAACTATGCACATGCACCGATCCAGGCAAGGCCCATCCTTGACCCAGGATCGGTGCATATGCCTTCCTGGCCAAGGCAGGAGGGCGTATGCACCGATCATGGGCTCAGGATGGGTCTGGCCAGAATCGGTGCATGTGCATAGTTCTCTTTCCTCTAACTACGAGGTGCTGTGCACGGAGGGCGTCGGCGAGGAGTACTGTGGCGGTGTGAGGTTGCCCGCCGACCGCGGCCTCAAGAAGGCGCCACCTGCGCAGGCCTCCCATTGGGCGTCGACAGGGGCGGCGCATTCTGCTGGGCGCCCTTCGCAGGGACGTGGCCGTTGGGCAAACACGCTGCTGGCAGACGGCCATGCGAAGTCGTAGCCCGTCGCCTTTGAAACGGAGTTTCGCCGAGTTTTCAGCCCAGCCGAACTGGCAGCTGAGATCATGGCCAGCGCCGCGGTGGCCATGGACATGCAGCTGCTGAAGCATCATGCCACGATGCTGCACCCCAGGCTGGACAGCAACGCGGCGGCCGAGGAGACGCAGCGCTGGAAGCACGAGACATCGGAGCTGTGAGCCCAGCTGATCCACGGAGGCGGCCCAGCGACAGGCCGCCAACGCCGCTGCAGCCCTGGCAGCCGCGGAAGCAGGTCAGGTCAGGAACCGTGCGTAGACGGCACACCGGTTGCAGATCATATGCATGAGTACATGTACAATGGCATTCCGGCGCCAGATGGGCTTGTATAGAAATCGGCCCACTCATGCCCCGCCCCGCCCGAGCCGTTGAGAGCCAAGCTCTCGGGGCGGGCACGGCAATCCAGGGCACATGTAATGGTGAATCGTGTTGTTCGTTTATGTGT